GTTGGCATAGTTATTCTGTTCGTCTACCCTGTTTGGGCATTGGTGCTTGACATCCTATAGACTTTACAACCATTCTTGCCAGCATGTGGAGTCTTCTGTGGTTTGGACGTTGTGTTAAATTCCTTTTTTGTATTTAATTCATGTAGACACCAACAAAATTCATATTTTCGTTGTGTTTACCTACGAGTCTAGTTTGTATTTATGAAAATGTGAGCAGAAACCTTGTGGAAGAGACTTATTTTTCTTTGATGTAGAGAGAGCTCAGTATTTGTTCAATGATTCTTGAAGGACCTTTTCTTATTATCTTATGTGATAAACATCATATGTTACTGGAACTCTTTTCTTCGACAACAAAAGAAGAAAGAAATACAACTTAATTAGAAGGAAGACAAAAAACAAGGAGTGAGCGAAAATCAAATGCGACTTATCCAGCATTACATTTGAATGCAATAATTAGGGAGAAACTTTGTTTTGGGCACTGGCAAATCATCTTTTATCACTAGGTGGACTCCGCAGCTTTCGAAAAACACTGAACCTTCACTGGTAAGGTCAAAACTAACTTGGCACTTATAAGGTGGCGAGCCACTTCTTGTCTTGGCTATCATTGTATGGAATGGGATATAATACAGCCACAGATGAGCTGACTCCATCTCTTTCGAATCGAAATAAACCACATGTTCATGAGAACATTCTTCATCCATGTAAACTCTGGCTATCAAGCCACAATTGCCAAAACTGTGTTGCTTGATTTCAACAGCAGCACAGAGAGCCAACCCTGTTTTTGACCATTTGAAATTGGGAGGGACTTCAACAGAAACTTCACATTCACGACGCTCCTTCAAATCCCTACAACAGCTGAACCACTTTGGAACCTCACTTCCTGGAAACACAACCTCAACCACAGATTGTTGGGCGAGAAACAGAGAGGACAGAACAACCGGACACAGTACAATCTTTTTCATCTTTGCCACACCGGCCAGATTGTCACACAGTCTCCGGCAATTAGTCAAGTTCATCCAACCAATCATATGCGAGTCTCTGCCTTCCAGAATGTTTGACAAGTTCGAAAATTCTTCCAATGATATGCAATCAGTTGCATCCACTCGTTCTATTCCGGATGGGAGTTGGGGAATTTCTCCAAGCCTCTTACAGCCACGCAAGTTAAGCATCCGCAAGTTGACAAATTTTCTAATGCACAAGGGAAGATTAACAAAATCGCTTCCTGAGAGATCAAGTACTTCTAAAGTGGACCCGCAATCGAGAGTCTGCAGGAAATTACTTTCTGATAAATTGCATCTTCCCACATCGAATTTCCAGAGCTTGGGAAATGCTAAGGAGCCGTTTTTTCCACGTGAAATGTTTGAAGACTTAGTTGGAAGCACTAAGGAAAGTGCTTCTGCACTGCATGAAGGTTCAGGGTTAACCTTATTCGGAAATGTAACAAGTTTTTGGCATTGATAGATGGAAACCATCTTTAGATGCTGCAACCGATAAATGCTGCATGGAAGACTTGTAAGGTTCTCACATCCATGTATATATAACTTTTCAAGACCAATGAGATTTCCAATTGACGAAGGCAATTGTTTGATGGCAGTTCGGGATAGATCCATCCATATTAAGGATTTCATATTCCCCTCTATTTCAGGGAAATTCTCAAGCCTTGTGCAGCCTTCAAGATTCATCCTTCGCAGAGATTTCAAGTTCATTCTTCTTGGAAAAACTCTAAGGTTATAGCACCCATTAAGCCTCAAGTGAACAAGTTTATCAAGGAACCCAACAGAAGGATCAACCTCAACTAAACTTCCACAGTACTTCAGATTCAATTCCTCTAAGTTCGGGATTCGAGAGAAGTTGGGAATTTTCGTTAGGAACTTACAGCTTTCGAAATTTATAGATTTCAGATGTTGCGAACTCTGTGAGACAACAACCACAAAAAAGAAAGATGGGATCAAATGATAAGCTTTAAAGAAAGCATATTGAGTTGAACAAGCTTTATATACCTTGAATCCCTCCCCTAGTCGTAACAGGCCGCTGCGAGGCATATTGAGTTGAACAAGTTTCCTTGGATTAAAATTTGATGGCAGAGATTGACACGGACATTCAGGCCAGTCAAGGAACCTTAGCTCATTGGGCAGATAATCGATATCTCCAGAAAAACGAGCATTGCAGTTGATAAAAACTTGAAGATTCTTCATTTGTGAAAAACTTTGAGCATTCAAGCATATTTCATATGACTCGGGCAACTTTACCACGATTCCTTTAATTTTACTTGTTCCCTAGTATGAAAAATCAATAGCCCGAAGAAAGTAAGTTCATCAAATAAGAATGCAAGTGTTCAAATTTATTCTATTAAGGATTTTAACAAGAAAACTATATCCTGCATAAGCTGTTGCTTTATTGAATTGAATAAACACTGTACGCATATATAGAAGCATTCAAACACTAACTGACAAGTAAATTAATAAAACACTAAACAAATTTCGATTTTTCTTTTCTTTTCTCTTGGGATGATCCATCAAGGGAAACCTGAAAAGGGAAATGTTCAAATCAATCACAGAGTAGAATCAGAAAAGTGTTGAGTGTGTATAAATCATACTTACTGTGTTTTCCGTTAGAACATGGTAAATATCCTCGTGAAACCACAATCTGCTACGATTACCAGGCTCAGTTGGTGACTCTTGGCGAACGATTTCTTTACCCATTTCTTCTAGCAAGTCATGCATCCCAATATGATCACCCTCAATATTTATAAGAGCCTTCTCTATGAGTACTTCAATACCATACTTAGGGTTCAGCTCACAACATTCCAGTATTCGCATCACATAGTCCTTATTTTCACCTTTATAAAAACATGCAATATCAAGGAAAATTTCTTTCACCGGATCTTCTAGTGCATAATAACTTACTTTGAGAATTTCTTGAATCTCTTGGTTAGGAACTCTTCTGTAATTATCTAATGCTGCTTGCCACTGATGTATACTTCTACCACATAGAAGTGAACCTAAAACAATCAAAGCTAATGGAAGGCCATGAGCATATTGTACTACACTCATTACAAGTTTCACATAATTATCATCCAGACGTCTATCTCTGAAGGCATTCCAAGTAAAGAGCTTCGAAGCTTCATGATGATCCAATTCTGTGACCTTGTATATGTGATTAACTTGGTGAGCAACTAGCAAATGCTTATCCCTTGTGGTTATGATAATTCTACTGCCCAAACCAAACCAATCAGACCCTCCAGCTAATTTGTTTAACTGGTCCAAATGATTCACGTCATCAAGAATTAAGAGAACCCTTTTATGGCTCAACCTTTGCTTTATCACATTCATTCCTTTATCAACATTAGTCACCTTCAATTCTGTTCCCCCTATTACCTCAGAAAGAAGAACGTTTTGTAGTTGGACGACACCTCCATGTCTCATTGTGGTTTCTCTAACATTTGCTAAAAAACAGCTACCTTCGAACTTATAGGAAATTGAGTTATAAACGGCTTTAGCAAGTGTTGTCTTACCTATTCCACCAGTTCCCCATATCCCTACCATACGAACTATATTTCTCCCAACATCTAAAAGCTTATCCATCTCTTGAACAAGAGATTCGATTCCAACTGGGTACTTCGCCACATTCAAATAGGTTCGATTTAATAGCCGCATTGAAATCTCTTCCACCACGTCATGAATGAATTTTGATTCATGCCTGCATGTTAGAAGCATAAGAAGCCTTTAATGTAAGGGTATATTTCCATGAATGTTTAAAAGAAAGGCATTGAATTAAAATAAAACACAAAAACAAGAGAATTTCGCACGATTAACCAAAAAAAACCACCTTAATTAATACTAGTTTCATTAAATTTCCCTTAATATTTGTTGAAAAAGTAATGCATATTTGTATAGATGTAACTACACAATTCTAGAAAACTCAAGAACCTACAAACTAGATGATGGAATCACTACAAGAAAAAGGTCAGTAGTGACCAATTTCCTTGTGACCACATGAATAATGGTCACAAATACAGTGAATTTAATGACTAATAATACTACGTGGTCACTAAAATAATTTACCCCTATTTTTTAATTTTTAATGACCAAATTTTCCGACCATTATTTAAAGGCTTTTTATCACAAATGGTCCTTCACGTTTACGAAATTATCACGAATGGTCCTTGAGGTTTTTTTGTGACACTAA